CTCTCCTCCTTCAAACTAATTAAATGAGAAAGGATACAAGAAAGTCACTGAAACAAAAGTGTACTAGCATCCTAGAATGGAGCCTGTGCATTCTCAGATTTTGAAAGATACTCACATATGTATTTAAAGAGGTCCTGGCATGGTGCTTTAGAATAAGCACTGGACTGCTGCTAACCAAGTGATTCAAATCCACCAACCACTCCTCGGAAACCCTATACAGAGTCAGTATGAGTTGGAACCAACTCAACAATCAACAGCAACATGTATTTAAAAGACAATGGTGAGAGAACAAACAGGATGGTGGATCGGGCAGAAGTGCAGTGAGGAGCTCAGCCAGCAACAACACAGAATACCGAACCAAGCAGGCTCAGGGGATGGTCCCAGAACTCTGAACCACATGTAAAGGGATATTCAGAAGGTTGGAAGGCTTACAGCTAGGGGAATTTGTAGCAGAAATAAGAAATCCATTGCTTTCTAATTCAAGACACTCAGCTGCTCCCAGAGCTGCCATTTTGGACGAGACCAAGCTGGGGAAGGATCAGAGAAGCCACGGATGCCTGACAGAACCACGGAGATAAAGGTGTGGATGTTTTTTTAATTGGTTCATTGGTCTCTTGCTGTTTGCACACCTCCATTCTGGTGACTAGAGGGGTGCTTGAGTGAATGGACACCCCATCCCCGGAGGGTTCTACTATGCATGCGTACAATCTCCTCACAATATAAAGAGACAGTTTCCACTTAAAACCAAACAACAGTGCAAAACAGCCAGAGCTGGCCTTGAACTGTTGTTTATCACTAGGAAAAAGGCCTGAACGGGGTTGTGGAGCAGGACAGGCAGACTAAAAATGAAACTGGGAAAAATTAAATCCTGAGTTACGTCATAATGACCAACAGTGGCATCTTGAAATTTCTCAGGAAGAAGAGTGAAAAGGGAAGCCCATCTCCTGATCACATCTACCTGGAGGCAATCAGAAAGCATAAAAAATACCAAAATACACACCCATCTAAGTATTAAAGCCTCAGACAACTCCTGAAATATGCCCCCCAAAACAGAAACAGATGACCATATCAGCACATGTCCAGATATGAGATAAAGTGACTGAGGCAAATGAGCTGAAAGTGGACCTACACTTCATACTGGAAGATGGGCAGGCTTTGGAAATGCCTGAGAAGGCATTCAGAAAAATGATTATAAAATGTGTCAAAACACTACAATGGAGTTGAGAAAAAATAAGGAAGAAACCAGGAAAGTGATACAGGAACAATCAAATAAGATTGACACAGCATTGGAAACAATTTAAAATCAACAGAAAGAGGTCCAACTGATTAATAATAGAATATCAGAAATGGATAATACACTGAAAGGGCAAAGGAACAGAATTGAAGAGTTAGAAGCCAGAACAAGTGATCTAGAAGATAAATCTCTCAACACTACTAAGATAGAAGAACAAACACAAAAAAGGATAAAAAAATAAATAAATAAGAAGAAGGCCTAAGATTTATGTTGGACAATGTGAAGAGGAATAACTTAAGAATTATTGGCGTTCCAGAACAGGAAGAATCACACAAGTCCACACAGACGAGATAGTTGAAGAATTTCTGGAAGAAAATTTCCCTAACATCCTGAAAAGCAAAAAAGATAAGCATTCAAGAAGCTCAACGAACCCCAGGAAGGATAGACCCTAAAAGACAATCACCAAAACATAATAATCAAGCTCTCCAAAATCAAAGATTAAGGACAGAATCCTGAAAGCAGCTAGGGAAAAGAGAAGTATAACATACAAAGGCAAGCAAATCAGATTAAGCTCTGACTTCTCAGCAGAAACCATGCAGGCAAGAAGGCAATGGGGAGACATATATAAAACCCTGAAAGAAAAAAACAAAACAAAACTGCCAACGAAGAATCCTCTGCCCAGCAAAGCTGTCAATCAACTACAAAGGTGTAATAAAAATATTCCAGGATAAACAGAAGCTAAGGAATTTTGCCAAAGCCAACCCTGAAATGAAAAATATTCTAAAGGGAGTTTAGAGAACCAACAAGAACAGACAACAACCAGAGATTGACGTATGTGGCAGCATCACCCTGAACTCAACCGACAAATGGAAGAGTCGAGAACGGAATAAAATGATAAGACCAGAGGATCTGGGAGATCAGTGTACGATCAAAACAATAACAATGTGAAAGAAGGTAAACACAGAGGAACAGAGAGCCAGGTGGTGGTAAGGTCAGATAGAGTGCAGGATAAAATAGACTGTCTTAAACGGAGGGAAAAGTTAATGGAATGTAAAGTAACCACATGGTGGGGTTGGGGTGGGGGTTTTAGTTTGGCCGTTGGGGAGGGCAATATAAGAAGGGTGAGGAGGTGGAAGAACAGGATAGATAGGGGAACACTGAAACAAGTTTGCATGGCCTAAGTGGGACAGAGGAAAATAGTGATGCATGCTCAACCTTGGAACAACAGGGCTCTGGGATACAGGGATCTAGGCATAGTTTGAAGAGGGAAAAGAGTACTTAGATGCTTGACTGTCTTATGAATATTCATTTTCCTTGCCTACTCTTGTAAAATAGACACTTGAGTGGGATAGAAAGGAATGGTGGAAAACATGATTACAGAAAATTTATAAGCCCGTCTTCAGCCTATAATTGACTGGATTACCTAAAAGGGGTTCTAGGACTTGTCTAGTGAAATAGGCCTCTTGCGGAGCCTTTGCAGGGTATAGGACCTTAGGTGTAATCCTGAGTTCCATCCAGAACCTTCTGAGGTGGGACATTCCCACTAGCAAGGATAAGCAGACCAGCCTGGAACAGCTAGAGTGACAGAAGATACATCTTCAAAGAAAGACCATCAGGCAAAACCCAAAACAAAAATGTCAGCCTGACTGGCTACCACAAGAATAAGCAAGCTTATTCAGGAAGCCATCAAGGCAAGCAATCAAGATCGTTCAGGACAAACTCCCCTCTAAGACTGAAACTCAAAGAGAACACACGAACAGGCATGTAAGCTTGCTGGTGACCACATTGGTCTACTGGTGAGTGGAAGAGGGGGAAAGGCAGCAATGAAGAACTGTTCAACCACAGTCCATTGACTCCTGTTGACCTGAAGATGAGAGAGAGACAAGGAAGGGCTGGTTGGTTCAAAGTGTGGTGAGACCTGGAGACACCTGAGCCCATGGACAAGGACATAGATAGCTACAGAGGGCTAGAGCTGAGAGTGAAGCATCCAGCTGATATGAAGTGAGGGGTGATGCACAAGAATACCCAAATTTGAAGACAGTACCCATTTGACCTAGCCTCAATGGCTTGATATCAGAACTCGACTAGAGGAAGATTTAAAAATAATATATTTTTTGGGGGGATAAAGGAAACAAGGGTAAATTGCTACAATTTGATGAACCTGACCTATACTCATGGAGGTAGTAACTCTAAATACCAACAGAGAGAAGGAGTCTTTGCATCAAGTATTAATGCTATCCCCTCTGTACACATGGTAGATAGGGATGGGCAACTTAGACATTGGCTACCTAAAATAGGGGGAGGGGGCTATAAAGGCATGAAGTGACTGGTTTACAATATTTCATGATGGAGTTTAGTTTAAGAGTGTGTGGGGGAAGAAAGAGTTCCCACTGAATAGTTTTCATGTTGTGTAGATGGGTCTAGTGAAAAGAGAAGGGGATAAAATTCTTAATCTGATTCAATAATGAGTAACTGTTATCATGACTAATTGCAAATGTCATCATTTTAAAGGTAGAAGTTTTGTAACAAAAACAGGGGAGTGGTTAATCTTACAGTCCAGAAACAGGACCCTAGGACCATCAATGGAGAAGAGTACAAGCAGAATGCTGGACCTTATTAAGAGAAGCAGCAATGCCAGAGACGGACAGAGGCAGAGATGGGGTCATGGAGAGGGGGAGCGGCTAAGGACTCTAGATTCATGGGAAGAGAGGGACTAAGAGCGGGTGGCCAGGAGGCAGACTTGCAGAATGTGCCCTTTGGAGGTGTAAATCATGCCTGAGTCTTTTTTTTTTTTTTTTTTTTTAAAGCTAAAGTGAATAGAGAGAAATACTGCTAACTGATGGTACATGTTGTTGTTGTTGTTAT